GCCGAGGCGGTGTTGCACTACGGCCCGTCCTGCCTCAGCCCCTGCAGAAAGCTCCCGGTGCTGCATATCTTTGGGCAGCAGCCTCTGGACATCAGGCGTTGCACAGAAGCCTTCCGGGAGCTCTACCCCGACCGGCAGAGCCATGTGGTGGTGCTGAACGATGTGGTCTATGCCCATGCGATGGGTGAGTGCTCTGGGGCAGGGAGGTGGTCTCTGGCAACGCTCAGAGCTCTGCAGAGCTGCCAGGGGGAGAGGCAGCAGCAGGCAGGCGGTCCCCAGCCTTGATTCCTGTCCTCTCCTCTCCTAATCTGCTGTCCCACCGTTTGCAGGACAGGTCTGTGGCCATGTTTCATTCACATTCCTCTCTCCTTTCAGGTGAGTTGGAGCAGCAGTTGTCTCCCGAGTACCCTAATATCGTCTTCTCCAGGGTAGCATGCGGGTATCCTACTGGCCCCGCACTGTCTGGGGAGGTGCGGCAGTTTGGTCGCCAATTCCTGGTGGAGGCACCAGGAGGGCTGCAGAACTGCGCCATGTTCTATGTGGGAGCCGAGGGCCTGGCCCTCACCAGCTTCATGCTGACCTGGAACTGCTGCCCCTTCAGCTCCTTTGACCCCACCACCGGCTGTGGCCGTCGTGAGACCCTCAATGTCAACCGGGCCTTGATGCAACGCCTCTACCTGGTGGAGCGAGCCCGGAACGCCCGTGTGGTGGGCATCCTGGTGGGCACCCTTGGCGTGGCAGGCTACCTGGCTGTGCTGCAGCACCTCCGGGAGCTTCTGCGCCGGGCCGGCAAGCGCAGCTACACACTGGCTGTGGGGAAGCTGAACCCCGCCAAGCTGGCCAACTTCCTGGAGGTGGACATCTTTGTCCTGGTGGCCTGTGCTCAGAACTCCCTGCTGGACTCCAGCGACTACTACCAGCCCATTGTGACCCCCTATGAGCTGGAGCTGGCCTGTAACCCAGCCCGCGAATGGACGGCGAACTACCTCACTGACTTCCGAGACCTGCTGCCAGGTAATAGCTAGAAACCAGCTGCCCAACACCCTGCCAGGGCACGTCCTGCCCTGCTCCCCTGGCCGGAGCCTGCGGTTACTGTGGCACTGCTCTGACAAGAGGGTAGATATGAGCACCAGTCTAGCATTATTGTTTCTTGGCAGGTGCCTGTGCACACATTGAACTCCCACCAGCTGTCCCTGCAGCAGAGGCCATTCCCGACATCTCACTGATCACGGGAGAGATGTGTGCCACCCACCTCTGCGATTCCCCAGCCCCGCAGCAGCCCCCCAGCACTGCCTTGGCCTGCAGGGACCAGACACGGGCCCTTGCGGAGATCAGCCCTGCTGGTTTGTGATTCGGTGTTGTGGTGGGGCTGAGCCCCAGTGCAGGGGCAGTGCTGCCTCCCTGCTCCCAGTAACAATTCCTTCTCTCTCTTTTTCCCAGCCTCCTTCCTAGAGGCCCGAAGCTGGCGGGGCCTGGAGCAGCAGCTGGGGCAGACACCCATCTCCAAGGCTGTGCAGGGCCGACGAGGGATTGCCATTGCCTACGAGGACGAGGAGCGCGAGCAACCCTAATTCAGCATCAGCCCTGGCACCCAGCTAGGAGCAGGGCTGTGTAGGGGCATGGACATTGCCTGCCACCGAGTGTTGGACCCATGAGGATCCAGACCTGCCACCAGCTGGCCCCACACTGGATGCAGCCTTAGGTCAGTAGTGCTGCAGGGGGAAGAGCAGGAGTTGCATGTGTGTTTGGAAATTCCCACAGCACCCCGGGACTCACAGCCAGGGCAGCAGCGGGGCCGGGAAAGGCGCTTGCCCAGACCCAGTCTCCAAGGGCTCCCCAGTCCAGGGCAGCTTTAGCCTTACATGGAAAGGTCACGGCTTCGCACAAGCCAACAGCACCAGAACTCAAGGCTTTTGTGGGCTACTGCTGCTAACTAAAGATGAACTGAAAAGGACTTGTGAGTGAATCGTCTTCTAGAATAGAACATGGGCTCAGGAGGGTGCAGACAGGTGATACCAGGTGTTCCAGAGTGAAAACACAGATCACTGTGCCCATTTGAGGAGCACAGGCCTGTGCATTGGCTAAAACCAGCCCGAGAGAATAGAAACCCAGAACTGGGATCCGCAGAAATGAAAGCGTGTGTGTAGGCTGGGCTGGGGAACTAAGGCAAAGGGGAGAGGGCTCCGAGCGCGAGCAAGCCCTTCACCTGCTCTGATGAAGAGGAGTGGGGTGTGCACACACCCTGTGCTGCAGGGAGGACCCCGTGTTTGTCAGGGAGGGAGCCTGGCTCCTCGTGTGGGGCAGGACTGTTTCTGCTCCATGAGCTGCTCCAAGCCAGGCAGGAAAGCATGTCGAGCCGGGGAAGGGGGCACTGGTTGTTACCATCCCTCCCGCACCCAGAGGGGAAAGGAGGCTTTGAGGCACCCCAGCCTTGATTTAACCCCTTCTGCTGGGCTCTTCCCCAGAGGCAAGGGGCAGGCAAAGTCTGGACACCACAATAATGACAGCCACAACATAGAAATATTCTTAATATAATTAGGTGCAGGGCCTCCCCCCCTCCCAACCACGCACATACAAATGAGTAGGGGGCAAGCCCCCCCACCCAGCCAGCCACTGCCACAGGCACAGGGGCAGTCTCCCCACCACAGGGTACAGACACCCACGGGGAAGTGCTGGGGAAGGGCTGGTAGCCCAGGTGCAGGGCAGCCCATGCTGGGGCAGTCCTGCCCAGGCTTCCCCCCCTCCGCGCCCCTCTGCCGCCTCCTGCAGCCAGCACTCCCGTCCCCTGCGAGGGGGGAGGATGCTGGGGGAAACAAAGATGCTGACACCAAGATGCGACCACCAAATCTAGCTGAGGAGCGTCCTGAGTGGGTTAATTCTAGGTGGAGGGTTATTCTACAAGCCGTACAGCAGCAGGGTGGGGAGGATGGGGGAAACTTCCTTGCAGGGAAGAGCTGGTCCAGGCAAATTGTCCTCGGTCCTGGCCAGGTGCTCAGTAGTCTGCTGTGTACTCCGTGCCATGCAGCCCTCGGCACAGCAGGGTGAACTCCTTCACCATCTCTTTCACTCGCCGCTTGTTCACACGCTCTCTGCTAAGACGGAGGGGACAAACATGAAGCAGGAGGGACACATAAGGCCATGCTGGAGGGGTGGGGCGGGGATCATTCCCACCACATGTGGGGCACAGCCACCACAGGGAGGAGTGCATCAACCTGAGGATCTGCTGGCTGAAGGTCTCCTTCTGCTCTGGGCTGACACGGGCCGAGGGGAAGCCATCCTGCTGCATGGCCTCCTTGATCCAGATGCTCAGGTAGCTGAAGCAGTGCTTGTTCAAGGCAAAGAGGATTTCTGCAAAGTGATCCATGAGGCTGCGGGAAGCCTGGCCACCAACACCCTGCCACAGAGCATACAGACCACGCTGAACCCCCACCACTGCCACCCTACCTGCACCCACTCATACTGCTGGGCTCTCTGCCCCTGGCTCCACAGGGGTGCTGCTCAGGACCACAGCCCAAATTGCCCAGGGAGCCTGTGGTCCTGGCATCTCTCACCTCCAGCACTGCCTGCAGCAGCACTTTGCCATTCTCGTGCACGACCTGTCCCACCGGGGTGATCTCTCCGCAGCGGGGCAGCAGCTCCGTCTGCAACACACAGCCCGGCTTGCTCAGTGCCAGAGCAGGCTCCAGGCTCCACAGCACAGCGCCCTTGCCCAACCTGCCCTCCCAGTTCTCCCCTCCCAGCTCTCAGGGGGCTGCACAATACCACAAAATACTCACAAAAAAGCCACAGGATGCTTTGACTGTTGGGGCCTCGGGGAACTTGAGTGAAAGGACACCTGGGGGCAGAAATCACTCAGGTCAGCAGCCAGAAACACCACACGCCATCCCAAATCAGCCCTGTGGTTCCCAGCTCCTGGCTGGTCTGTGCCTAAGCCAGCTTCTCCACAGAGCGATTTGCCCATTGTACTCACCACACTGAAACACTGCTTTGACATCCAGATTGCTACACAGGAAGAGGTCCGGCTTCCTTTTCAGAGCCTGCAAGGCACACAGACAGGCAGCATAAACCCAGTGCTGCAGAAGCAGCCAGGAAGCCTCTGAGGAACCCAGTGCCCCAGACAGCCT